AAAAAAAAAAAACAAAAACTTTTCCCCCCCCTGCTGCCACAGAAATGCCATGCAGATGGTTAAACGCCCCCCCCCCCACAGTTTATGTAGAGTTACTTGATATAAATAATGGTTCTTTGCACATGACCTGCATTCTCCATGCAAACGAGGGCTTGACCAGCTCCAAACAGAGATTGGCCTTTATAAAATGTAATATGAAGCATCACTTGCAACTTCATAGTGCCATCTCTATGCACAAATACTGAGACACAGTCCCCTCAGCATTTAATCCTGCATTGACTCTAGAGGCTCGCAAAACGGACCATTAACTAACAAGGTTAGTCACACTGGGCTGTCCATTTCCAATTTCTATACGGATCTCACAAGACAACAAAGATGCATTATTTTTCATCACACTTGATGGCTGTTGCTGCTGTGGGATTGCTACAATCATGAGCAAGAGGGAAGGAAAGACGGGCCAAAAAAATCCACTCTCTGCTGATGGGGTCCTTGCTATGAAGCTCTGGGGCCCTCTGTTCCCACCGCCCCACTGCTGTTCAATCACAGCTTAATTCAAGCAGCGCTTCCACCCCATCCCTCCCCCCACCACCACTGGGAAACTAAATACAGCAAAACCATTGCCCACACAGCTGGGTTTCTCGCCGGCAGACGCACACGGCTTTTAAGAGACACTCACACGTCTCAAAGGGAGAATGACACAAAGATGCGGTGCCAACTGAGCCCCTCCACATAGGAGGAGACTCACTATCTCTTGCAGGCTATCAGAGATACCACTAACTACAGCTGGGCACAGGCCGCAATTTGCAACCTGGTAACATAAAACACCATCAGGGCTGACACCCAACACAAACACGGCAGGGTCAGAGAGCATCAGGGGGTCTTAGGAACTGACTGGGCTATGGGTCTGCATGCGTTGTGCCACATGGCGGGTCTTCAATCATCCACGGAAACACATCCCAGAGTGGCGTCAGAGAAACAGGCCTGGAAAGGACCGCAGAGGTCACATCTAGGCAGGATCAGCCTGGTAAAAGCCAGTCCAGACGTAATCCCAACGCTCATCTCGACCAGCCGGGAGACTTGGCCCTGGCCCGGCTCTGGGGAAAGCAGGGCGGCTGCGGCAGGCACAGCTCCAAAGGTCCCAGCACCAGGCAGGGGAAGGCAACCCCCCCAGTCCAACCAGGGGGGTCCCTTCCTGCCCCAATGCAGCCTGGGCTGACCCTGCTTGGGGGGGGGGCGACACCCTCCCACCAGGACCCCATGGTCAGTGCCACCAGAGCATGGGCATAGTACCCCCCGCAAGTCCCACAGTCACCCCCATGATGTCCTCCCTGCACAAGCCCCAGTCACCCCCATGATGTACCCCCCCATGAGCCCCACAGTCACCCCCATGATGTACTCCCCCCGTG